TCAATGGTTATTTTACTCCAGTAAAACTCAAGATCCTCCCATGGCCTCAAAGGTGGTCCATATGCTGCCTCCCCTGACCTACCCTCCACACAGGGGCTTCTGTCCAATTCTGGATTTGAGTTGATTCCAAGCCAGGATGGGTGTCACCGAGGACTCTGTCAGAGCAGCAGGCCCCCCTGGAGCAACACCATCTTCCCATAATTTAAGTTTCTCCATGAAATTTGATATGCTGCAATTGTGCTATTATATTTGCTTATTTTGTTATCTTTTCCCAGAAGTCTTAAGCTTTATGGATAAATTTGTCTCCTTTGTTCACTTTTATATTCCTAGTACTGAAAATAATGCTTCACACAAAGAACATACTAAATATATTAATGAATGAGGGGTAGATGGATGGGTGCAGATGGATGGTGGGTGGATGATGGATGGGTGGATGGATGGTGGATGGATAGTGGTTGGATAGATGGGTGGGTGGATGGTAGGTGGGTAGATAGATGAATGATGCAGGGTAGATGAATGATGAGGGGTAGATGGATGGGTGCAGAGATGGTTGGTGGGTGGGTGGATGATGGGAGTGGGTGGTAGGTGGATAGTGGGTAGATGAATGGTAGGTGGGTGGATGGTGGATGGGTAGATGGATGGTAGGTGAAGAGTGGATGGATGGATGGGTGGGTAGATGGTGGGTGGACAGATAGATGAATGATGGGTGGGTAAATGAATGATGGGGGTAGATAAATGATGGGTAGATGGATGAGTGCAGAGATGGCTAGTGGGTGGCTGAATGGGTGAATGGATGGTAGGTGGGGGGCAGAGTGTGGGTGGGTAGATGGTGGGTGTATGGATGCATGGATAGGTGAGTGGGTAGACAAATGAATGATGGGTGGGTAGGTGAATTATGGGCGGTAGATGGATGAGTACAGAGATGGATGGTGGGTGGCTGATGGGTAGATTGATGGTGGGTGGGTGGGTGGGTGGATGAGGAAAATGCCACATGCCAGCTCTAGATCAGTGGTTCAGGACCATAAAATGTACCTTGATTCCTAGGGCCACCAGTGACTGGTTTCCCTGGTTTTCTCATCTCTGAACTTCTTCTCTGTCTCCCTACTTCCTATTATTTAAGAAGAGGAAATTCTGATAAGCTCAGTGCAGTATTTTCTTGTCTGCACCTTGCTGCTATTTCAGTAGAAAAATTGCTTAAACATGGATTTTCATCATTTTAGGAGGAGCCTTCCATCAGAAGTGTGCCTGCGAAGGTGAGCAAGACCCAGCAGCACAAGGTGAGGAAGGGTGAGACAGGTGGGGTAACAGCCATGCCTTCCCACCCTGGGTGCAGCACCAGCTGCAGGAGGCCATACAGGCACCTTTGTGTCTCCCTACACACCATCTTCTGGCATGAGATGTGACGTTTGATATTAGAGCCCATTGATGAAATCAGTGCTTACATTGTCTTCAATTTGTTTTTTATGTTGTTCTTATTTTCTAACAGGCATTTCTCTTTCCTGAATCTCCTCAGCAGAATAGCCAAGTTTTCATGGCCGCTTCCAAAGTGCAACCCTAGAGCATTTTGCAGATTGCTGGGCTGTGGGGACAGAAAGCTGAACTGTTTCCCTAAAAACTGAAAGCCCTGACTTAATTCCAGCAACCCCTATCCCATCTGACCCTCTGACCCTGTGCATGCAGGGACCACCAGTGGGTGTTTACATCCTCTGCTGGAAAGCAGCTCTATTCAGGCAGGCTCTGAGGCAGGGCTGGCTCAGCCTGCAGCTGCACTGGCTTAGAGAATTGCCCACAGTGGGACACTTGGTCACCCATGACCCCCAGGTGATCCCTAAGCACTGAGGAGGCAGTCTGGGGTTCTATCTATGGCCTCTGCTTCCTCCTGTGTGAAGGCAGGTAGCCTCTGAGTAGAGGGCAAGGCATTGCTGGTCTGGTGGCCTTCAAAGCTGTGCAGGGACCTGGAAGGCTGCAGGCCTGCTGGAGGGAGCATGTGTGTCTTCAGAGTACAGCCTCTGGCCTGCCCTGTGGTGAGGCAGATCTGGTAAAGGGGCTGCTGAGCTAGCTGCCTGACCACTGCCTTCCTCCCCCACTGCAGCCTGTGAGGTCCCCACTGTGGCCCAGGACCACAGGCCTGCCTGCTCCCTCACAAGGGCACAGTGCGGGAGACCTGGCTCATTGGTGGCTCAAACAGATTTCTATTTATCTTTAATAACTGTTCTCATTCATAAATGTGCCCATCATTTACACTGCTTAGACCTCAGTTTTAACCAGCTATCAGTTTGAATCTACGCTTTCTTTTCTTTCCCTCCCATCTTCTCCATTTTTTAAATAAAACGAAATTGCACTGACTTACAGTTTTGTACTTTGGTTTTTAAATTCAGCAAAATATAACATCTTTTCAAACTAGAAATTACTCTTCATCTTTAACAGATCAGTTTTACTGTGGCCATCCTGTGTGAGGACTGTGCCAGGACACCTGGCAGCTCTAGCACCTCTGATCTGAGACTGATCACTGGTCGACTACAGCTGTCAGCTAATTGTCAGCAGAAACAGGGTTTACGTTTGAACTGTCCAAACTAAAGCCAGTAGTTTCCAAAGTGAGGCAGGTTATTTTGAAATTTATTGTTACATACAAATGGGTAACAAATATCTTTGGCACTAAAGTGGGTAATCTGTGCAATTCCTAGAGAGCTTTGCATCTTTCAGAGTTCTCATAGTACTGAACACAAAATCAAACTAGCTTTCTTGAGATTGCAGAGAAAACTTTAAAACTTTAAAAGCATGGGTTCACATACTGATTCTACTAGTAGGATTTACCCCCAGGATTTATTCCTTCCTCTCAGTGTCTAAAACCACTGCAATGGCTTGTTTTTTCCTCTTTCAGAAATCTATTGTGCTTTCCCTCCATCAGGACAGCTTCATTCAGTTTGCCTTGAATAAAAAGGTGCTCCAAAAGTACCTGTGGACCAATGACCCGAGTCACCCCTGGGTATCTCCATTTGATCAGTGACAGAGGGAAACTCTCGAAGAGCAGTCACCCGTTCTGAAGCCTGGAGGGCCATCCTCTGTGGCCCAGGGAGGTCTCAGAGCCTTCCAGCCAGGTTTGGGACCAGTGGGCTGTAAGCCTCCTCCTTCAGGGAGGACAGTCTGCCTCATCCCAGGTCAAGTAAGAGAAGCTCAGAGCAGATCCCAGCAGGACTGCAGGCTTAGTGCAATCCGGTTGCAGGGAGGTATTCTGAACTTCATGTTGAGGGGAAGCAGACCTTTCCGCGGCTAGTGAGCTGCTCAGCCCCACACACAGGCAGCAAACTGTGGAGCAAAGGAAAGAGCTTCCTAGTTCAGCCTGACTTGTCCCTAGGGCCCACACAAGCTCACTTGGAAAAACTGCCTAAGCCATCAGAAAGGGCTCTTTCTGATGCAGAGAAAGGTAGTACTTGCTAATTTATTGATCTCATATGCTCAGCAGTATTCAAGGTGCTTTGGTCAGTCACCAAAGGTGGGGAAACCAAGGCACGGAGCAGCTAGGTCACAGTTCTTCAGGTCACAGTTGTGAAGGCAGCTCCTGCTTGCAGTCTTCACCCCCATGCTGTGCACTCGGCACAGGACGGTATTACTGACTGCCATACCCCATGCTCTGCATGGGGCAGATATTTACTGCACTACTCAAGAAGCCTGGGTCCTGCCCAGAAGCAGAAGGCTCCCCTTTCTGAGTGTTAGAGGGCTGGTTAACAATCCTTGCCCAAAAGAAAAGTTAACAGAAGCATAACAAATTGATTCAATTGTTCTACACAGGAGTCCTCAGAATGAACACTCAAAGACCCACCAAAAACCCCAGTTTCATGCTTAGGTTCAGTGAAGTGTGGAAACCGTGCAGAAAGATGACTGCACAAAAGGTTGCTCTCTGATAGTGGGAGCTGAGGGAACACAGCCAGCCTACCTCTGCAGGTTCTGTTTGGCTTCTGATGCAGCATCCCTTCCTCCAGATCCAGGGCAGGAATGGGGACTCGTGATCTATCACTTTCTGATATAAAAAAAAATTTCTTTATGGCCAGTTCCAAGACAGAAAGTCAGAGAACAGGTAAAGATTAGAGTAACACTTTGAGGCTTAATGGCTGGATTTGGAGGAAAATGGTTTTAGTTTCTATGACCTGCCTCAGGGAAGAAATTCTAGTCTCTGTGCCTGGGGAGAGTGGGAAGCAGGAGGATGGGAGTTAGCAGAGTGCTTCTGAGGCCTTCATCTGGGCTGTTGCTTTCTGAGCCCCAACACACCCATGATCCCCATAATTCCGGGGAATGACCACAGTCATCCCCCATTGCAGTTTCCTGCAAAAAAAAACTTCAGTGGGGATTTACAGTTGACAACTTTGCACCTGGTATACCAGACCTCTCCATCTTTCCAGTGCTTGTGAGAAGCAGCCTTTCCAAGTAGGCAGCCTCTCTCCCTTGGGGCCAGCATTGTGTCTGGGGCAAACATGGGTGAGCATGTGGCCCAGGTGTTCACAGGAAAGAACAGGTGCCTCTTCATTTTCACCAGCTCGTTTAACCCTCCAAACTGCAGTCAACCATGATCAAACTTTACCGAGGCTCAGAAGTTCATTGATTGACCCAGTGTTCACGTGACTTGAGCACTGCTACCAGTCCACATGCAGCACTGAGTGCTCCAGGAAGTCACCAACTGCTCTAAGAGAGTTTTGCTAAAACTGTCTGGCTAGACTAGACGTTTGCTGATGTCTGACAGTGAATACAAAAGAACCATGACCACACAGATGGCAGAGTGTTCAATGTTCAGTGGTGCACACCATGAAATCAGCACAAAGAGTTTGAGGTCTCTCAGGTCAGCTGTTATTTTATAGAAAGAAATATCTTGCGTTTTGGATTAACATTTTTCAGGAAAGAAGTATTTTAAAACCTATTTTGAACACTGCTGAACTGGACAGTAGACCCTGTCATTTACATATATATGTGTAATTGTAATTACACACACACACACACACACACATATGTAATTGTAATTATCAAGGGAGAAAATAACAAAACTTTAATTCATGGTTACATAGTTGGCTGGAAAAATGCCAGTTTGGCCACGAAGATTTCCTTCCCACCAATCAAAATGTGAATCAGTTTTTGATGTAACTATGATTTTGTCTCCAGCTTGGAAATTCAAGTCTCCCGGCTGCTGTCCTTCAAAAGAATACAGCGCTGTCACTTCTATTGGCTGATTTGAACCGCCTGAAATAAGAAAAGGCATTCTGATCATTCTTGCTTTTGAGGGGGAAGTAGCATGTGCAGGGGGTCAGAAGATAATCACTTGAGGGTTAGGGTCTGTGGACTGGCACACAGTCTGTGGAAGATGCGCACCATGAAAGTTGAGTTTTTTTCCTTTGAAAAGAGCAAGTATGTGGCAGTAACATTTCCCAAATTCACATACAAGTCACAACTACACACTATTTACATATATAATGAAATGTTTAGGAAATGTATACGGCTAAAATTGTTTGAATTTTGACCCATAAAATAACATTATTCATACTTTGCCCATTTTAAAGGAATAGTCATTGCCATGGTCTGAATGTTCCCCCAAATTCCTATGTTTAAGTCCTGCCCCACCAGTGGTGATCATGAATGGGATTACTGCCTCATAATGGGCTCCTGCCAGCAACAAGGGCATGGTAAGGAGTGTGCCTGAGAGCTGGGGTGGAGCTGGCAACACATATGTCTCTGCACACCTTGGTCTTGGATTCCCCTGAAGAACTGTGAGGAGGGAGACTGTCCAGGGTGGCCTTCTGGGGTGCTGTGACAGCCAGGGGGCCTGCTGGGAGGGTGCTCGCTGGGGTGCTCTGTGGCCACCCGGGGGGGGGCCTGCCGGGAGGGCAGTCCAGTGTCCATCAAGAGGCGAATTGATAAAGAGAATGTGGTGTATGTATACAATGGAGTTTGGTTCAGCCATAAAGAAGAATGACATTGTGTTGGTTGCAGGGAGTAGAAGGACCTGGAGAGCAGCACCGTTTTAAGTGAAGCAAGCCAGACTCAGAATGCCAAGTGTCACATGTTTTCTCTCCTATGTGGAAGCCAGAAGGAAATAGGGGGAAAAGGTACCTCATGAGAACAGAAGGAGAGCAGGAGGACCATGGAAGGGGCTGGGAGGGAGGAGGAAGGAGAGGAGAGGTCCTGAGGGTGGCACTGATGAAGTCACTTCATGTTTGTGTGCAGATGTGTCATATGAAACCCAGGCCCACCAGGAAAGAGAGTCTGCGCACTGTGTCTGCATGGTAACAATCTGGGTACCTGATTCCTTGACGCCGTATTTACATGAAATGGCTAATTCCTCATGGGCATTAGTTCTGTGGTGTATGGCTTTGTGACCTTATTTACCTTATTTGTTACAGATTAATAGGGCTCTTTAGACCTCGGAGACCATTTGTGAGCCACTCACTTTTATAAGTAACTGCTTAATTCTTTCAAGGAAAATTTCTAAAGATTATTTTAAGTAAGTCAGGTTGAAGGGTTATTTTTTTACTATGGAAAAGCTTAATAAGTTTCATTAAATAGTTCCCAATAACAGCAAAATATTTGAAAGGAAAACAATTCTTAAAAATATAAAACTCATGGGGCCCAAACTTTCAGAGACTGCAATAGTGATTGTTGGAATGCAAAATTACCAAATGTGCACTCTTCTCACTAGGCACCCAAAGCCCTCTATGGGCAGCAGCTGGCCCTGTGCAGGTGTGACTGCAGGTGGTGGGCAGTGGTCTTCAAGAGCTCAGGTACCCTCATCTTCTCAGATTAGAAGCCAGTGAGAGAACACAAGCACTATGTTTCACAAGAAGCACTTTTGAAACAAATATGGAAATCCTATAAACCACAGGGGATGAAATATGCTCTCAAGATTTTCCCCAATCTACCAGATTGATTAGAAAGTTTGATTATAAGATGGATGAGTCACTCTTTTAAAAATTATATATATATTCAGTTGTAGATGAAAACAATTTCTTTATTTTATTTATTTATTTTTATGTAGGGCTGAGGATCGAACCCAGTGCCTCACATGTGCTAGGCAAGCGCTCTATCACTGAGCTACAATCTCAGCCCATGAGTCACTCTTAATAATTTTTTGTTACTTACCAACTGTCTCATGGTAGCTGGAAAGCTCAGGATACAGTTTATGTTCATTTCTGTTACCTGCAAAAAGGGGGGGAGGATTTAGAAAGGTAATTAGTGTGTACTGTATCATAAAGCACACAGGAAGGCCAAATCCTGCTCTTGTCCCTCAATCACCTTAAGACGCTGTACACAGTAGGAAACCAATATTCAGTCGTGCTATAAGTCAAAAGGTATACCTGAACAGATACACCAAGTTCAGGAACCCGGTACCTATGACACAAAATATCTGTTTCCAGAAGCAGCCATGCAAAAGCTAAGTGAACAAGACTGTCAGCCCAAGCCAGGGACTTCTGAACATCCCCTGGCTTACCCTAGCACTCACTTCAACCTTCAAATCATATTTCAACCTCGATGCCATTTGTCTCAAAATGTTACAGTAATGTGTTAAACTGTATTTTTATGTAGCATTTTCCTACAACAGAAATCTGTATGTAAATTTACTTTTTAAATTTAAGCAAGCACAGCTTCTATTAAATAAATTCTTATAATAGATTGAGTTATCATTATAATCACTATTTATAGATGATTGATCAAAATTTAAGCATATTCTGAACTCTGTTAGCTTACTAAACATAAAAGTAAAACTGTATTTGAAAAGCATCTGAATAGATGAATGAGGCTTTAAAATTCATTCTTTTGCACAGGTCACTTCTTCTCATTGTTGGAATGACATCGGCTCAACATCCATTCATGGTTCAGTGCACTTTTCTATAGATACAGGTGCTCAGAGAGGTTCTTTTTGTTTTTGAAGATGGGCCTCACTATGTTGTCCTCCTGGGATCTATGATCCTCTTGCCTCAGCCTCCCAGGTGCTTGGGACCACAGGTGCCACCCCCCACCCCCAATAGGAAAAGTGGTTTTTATAAAAACTAGAGAAGACTAGAAGGAGGGAATTTATAGCAATGTAACTGAATTATTTTATAGCCCTTCTTAGAAGCCAAAAAATAATTTAAAAAGCTCACATTTATCATTCATCAAAACAACATATTTGTAAGATAATAAAACATTATATAACTTTTGTTTAGGTGATGAATAGCTATTTGGTTTTTTAAAAAATAATTACTATATAATGAGACTATGAACTACTTTTTTCATTATAAAAGTAGACAAATTTCACTTAGGTTCTTCCTCAATTTTGTTGAATATAAAGAAAGAGAAATCACTCCGTGGAGGCTCTACTGTCCACCAGAACCATTTGCTCAGGGCACTGGTATCACATCCATGTTTCAAATTGGCCTGCTTTTAGGGCTGTAGGCAATTTCACTTGGTGAGAATCAGCATGCTTGAGAGTTTGCTTTTCCTCTTCACATACAGAAAACAGGGCAGAAGATGCAGATGGAGCCTGTACACAATGCTCAGTGGCTGGCTTGGAGGAAGAATTCCAGGACCTGGGATCTGGAAACTGCCCTGAGAGATGCCTGAGCCCACAGGTCCTGGCTGGCATCTCTGTGAACCCTGAGGACGGGAGCACACCTTGGAGCTCAGGCAGTCAGACACAGTTGCAAATGATGGTGGGCAGGACAGATACTCCAAGGGATGTGCTGTAAGAAACTGACTAGAAATAATTTGGGGTGAATAACCAAATTTCAGACCAGCAAAATGTGCGCCCCTTGTGATTTCCTGCACCCTGGTCTAGAAATGGAAAAGTGTATTCCAGTCACAGGAAGGGCACAGCTCCAGGAAGGCCCACTGGGAGACACAGCACCACAGCAAGGCAGAAGGGACCCAGGTCTCCAGGTGATTAATTACAATACTGTGGCATGAACATGAGTTCATAGTATGATTTCAACTAGAACTGAAAGATGGCAGAGGAGGAAATGCTAAGGTAAATGATCTTAACATACAGGAAGAACAAGTATTCAGGAATCAGAAATAAAAATAGCACAAGTAATCCTGGAGAATGCAATTGTTTATCTGACATAGGAAGACCTTTGTAACCATGATTAAAACACATAAATTCATAAAAACTAGATGGTTAGGCAAATTTTTACATAAAAATTAAAGCTCTCAACTAGTAAAACATGAAAAATAAAATAAACACATAATAAATGTAAAAAAAACTACTGCAACCCAATGACAAAGCCCCTGAAACATAGATCATTTTCAAAAATTGAGAAGGCAACAAACATTCCATTAGGAAAAAAGGAACCAAGGTAATGAAAAGACTGCTCATACAACAGAAATTCTAAACACTGGTAATCTGAGATGGTTGACTTCACAATGATGGGGATGAAAACTTCCAGTCTTGACGTTCAAAGACTTGAGAATGCTCCAGAGCCAAAAGCTGTGGGCAGGGATGTGAACATTTTGAAGGTAATGTTATTCTGGGAATGTCGTGGCGGGTGTGTATGTGGTGGTGAATGCGTGGGGGAGAGCAAGGTAGGGGGAGAGAGTGGGAAGAATGCAGGTGGGCAGCCTGTGGGGCGAGCACCCATATATCCTGGGGATGTTTGGGAAGGGGAATGTGTCTGGCAGAATGCTCATAGTGGAGCATGTTTCAGGTGGACTGTGTGTGTGACAGGAAGGTATATGATGTGGAATGAGCGTGATCAGGTGTGGTTGTGGTGGAGAATGCTAAGAACCCATGTGAGGGAGCTGGGCTGAAAACTGGAGAAAATAGATGTGAAACAGGACTGAGGAGTCCGAGAAGGAGCTTTCTACTCTCTGAAGAGCTTCAGTACATTGTCTAATCCTCTTCCCATAGTAAAAGTTACACATTCATATGCAATCTCTCCTTCTATACAGAAATCCACTAACAGCAGAATCTTTGAGTTGTGCTCCAAAACACTGCAGCACAGTGCCTCTTATATAATGATTGTCCATTACATGAAAGAGCACCAATTTTAGTATATTTCTATTTATACCTAATTTGTATATATGAAAAACAGAAGTCTCAGAGTTACTATCATACTGATAGATAGTAAAGACCCAAATTGGATGTTTTATAAACTTCACCTGAGAACGTCCTGAGATCCCAGGAATAGGTGGTAAAAATAATACTCAGAAACATAGGTGTGAGGGCTGCGGTTGTGTGTGGCTCAGTGATAGAGTGCTTGCCTAGCATGTGCGAGGCACTGGGTTCGATTCTCAGCACCACATATAAATAAGTAAATAAATAAAAGTCCATCAACAACTAAAAAACTTTTTAAAAAGAAAAGAAACATAGGTGTGAGAACATACCCCAGAATAGGTTTATGTGTTCAAACTGGTAAACCTCAGTGTGACAAAGTACAGGCGGGTGGGCTCCTGTGCTTGGATCAGTAGCACAGCCATTTCAGAAGAAAAGACAAAGTAAATGGTAAAACTTGAAAGATATATCTCTTTGTAGCTTTAAGAAAGCATCTCATGAGTGAGAACAGAAGTTTTCAAAATCACATGGCTGAGAACTCAGGATACAGAAGAGACCCAGCATTTTCTTTTTTCTTAATACGCCATTACTTCTTGTATTTGAAAAGTGTAACAATGTTGCTTGAAGTCTTAACAAACTACTTATTAATTACTTAATTATAATGTACTTAAATTGCAACAAGAGTATGTACTTTGAGAGCTGGAGCTTGGCTGGGCTGCTGCAGATGACCCCTGTGGTCTTGAGGACGGCTTTGGAGGTAATTCCTTAGCCTGCGAGGAATGACAATATGACATAATTCTTCCGTCCAGTTCACACTTAGCAACATAGGATGCTTTTGCGTCTAATGAGTCTAAGCAGCAACGTTCGCCCCATGCACTTACTGAGGTGGCACACTAGGAGCTGACAGGGACCTCTGGCACTGGGAACACCGAGTAGGCCTGGGTGGGAGGGGGGCTGGGCGTGACTGGGCAGCCCAGGGGAGGGCAGTGACCTCACGCACTGTGCGGCAAGGGCCAGGCTGTACAAAAGGCTGTCGTGGGACGTGGTGAAACACCCACAGAGTTTGAGGATGTGGGCTTGGCACGGGGTTAGTGTGGCTGTCCTCCCCTTCAGGAAGTCTGGCCCTGAGATGGCACGTCAGGGTCACGTGACATCTTCACACTCACTGCCATGCAACTGAAGTCACACGGGAAGTGGAGGGGTCGTGGGGCCTGACACCAGGGACAGAGGACAGAGGGCTCTACGGAGGGGATTCCTGGGACGCGAGGAGACCAAGGGCTAAAGCTCAGAACCTTGTGTAGCTCCCTGGCTGCTCTCCTGGCGTTGGCACGCTGCGCCTCACTCTCGTACTTCTGGGTGAAGGAATCAAGAATCTCATAAAGATCTTCGGCTTGTGCAGGTCGTGGCACGTCTCCAAATAAGATGTCACAGGCTCGAATGTCCTGGCAGTAGAATCTGAGAAGAACAGGCCATTAAGAAAGTTGTTTCCGCAGGCACAGGAATGTCTCTTCTGCAGCCATGCGCTGTGGCTCCCGTGGGCCGGCCTCCCCAGCCGTCCTGTCCCGCTCTGCAGTCCCCTCAGGTTGCCTCCAGAGGCAACTGCCCTGAGTACTCTGACGCGCACCCTTCCTCCGTAGGCACAGAAAGCACACAGACCCATTCTTATGCATCTACCACACACATCTACATGGAAAGGGTTACAGAAATAACAAAATCGTGCAGTTTTATAGGTTTTTCCCTTTAAGTTAGTTTCTTCAAAAATGGTAGCTATACACATGGCTGTGTGATTTCTTTAAAATGTTTAAAATGTTCATTTTGTTAAAATTAAAGATTTGTCTTATATGTTTGGAAGTCCTGCGGTTCATTAAGGACTATATTTGTCTTAGTAGAACTTTAGTGGAAATGTCAGCCAAAGACCTGGAATCAGAAGTTGATGAAGCATTCTTAAGTCCTATTTCTCAGACCACTAAATCCAGCAATGAGAACTCTGGTTCCACAGCATAAACGGCCCTGTGTCCTCACTCTCCCCACCAACACTGCTTTCAAGTGGCTCCCAGACGCTTTAATGTGAGGTGTGCTACTGAGTTCTCTTGTCCCCTGTGGTGGTAGGTCTGTTCCTGGCCCTGGGGAAGCTCTGCCAAGCAGCACTACCTGGGTCACAGGCAGGCGGTCTGGGCCTTCCTGGGGTTCTGGAAGTAGCCTGCCCTCAGTCTCAGCCACAATCCTAACTGGACTAAAGTAGGGCAACATCTAGGAGCGGCTGGGAAAACTCTCCAGAGGTCAGTTAGAGAGCAGCCTTCATCCGTAAGGACTTCCAAATGCTTTTTAAAAACCAAACTGTATTTCTAATTAATATTGGTCTCCATTTGATAAGGAGGGAAGGCAAAGGCAGAGTGTAACAGCAGAACATCTCTCACAGTGAGGCCCATTTCATTTGACCTGCAAGTTTAACGCGAAGCCCTCCCTGGACCTTTACAAACATGTTGAAGTGGGGTCTCTGGCCAGCAGAGTGCTATGTAGCAACCAGTGAGTGCTCACCGTCTTTAGGGTGGTAGTGAAAAGATAGCATGCTGCAACCTTCCTTGATGGGACAAAGGACAAGCATGCCTAGGAGACTGTTAGAGGCAGAAGGTATATGTAAACAATGATAGTGCTGGAGCGATGCAGTTTTCTTCTGTTTTTTTTTTTTCTTCTAAATTTTCTATAAGTATATATTACTTTTATCTTGTATGTTTCAATATAAAATATATGTTTAGAGTCACATCTCATTATATTTAAGAAAACATACACAGGTACTCTGTAAACTAAAGAGCTGTATCAGTTTTGAACTATCATCTTCTTGTCACCTTCTAAGTCATTCACAATCTGCAGCATGAACTTACTTCCGGTTAGTTTCTTTCCTTTCAATTAGACAGCTCCCTTCTAGAGAGATGCCTGCAAAGAGTCCCCTGGACTTGCAGTATGTGAAGACAGCTGCAGAGCTCCTCAGGGCCACATTTCCTTCCAGGTTCCTGAAAAGCACGGAGGCCTGAGATGACAGAGAGCACTGTACAAGCATCACTCACTCCAGGGGGTCTGGCAGGGTCACTTCCTGATGGCTGCAAGACAGCTTTGAGGTGCCTATAGGGAAAGCAAGGCACCAGAACAGACAGAGGGTGCCCGACTGGAGCCCTGCTCTGCAGAGGATGCATGGATAGCTGACACCCTTTAGACATGGAAACAGCTCCAGAGAGCTGAAGAACTGGGTGCAGTAGGCACACCTGTAAGCCCAGTGGCTTCTGAGGCTGAGACAGGAGGACTGCAATTTCAAGGCCAGTCTCAACAACTTAGTAAGGTGAGACCTTGCCTCAAAACAATAATAATAATAATAATAATAATAATAATAATAATAATAATAGAAAAAAAAGAGAGTGCTGAAGAGCTTGATTTCAACTAACATCATATCACTTTCATTAAAATACATGTCTTTCAGATGATTTTTCTGTGTGACTTTCTTAAATGTGAAATTTTCCCACACTGCTTAATTAACCCAAGAAGAGCACTTCATCAACAGAGAAGGAAAATATGCAACTTCACTGTTGTGAATATCCCCCACTTCAGCACTCAGGACTCAGAAAGAGGCTTCCTCTTCTGGCCCTGCCATCCTTTACCACCCACCGATCTTCCTCAGAGCTCATGGTGAGTGTTGTTCTGTGCTGGCTGTTTCGTGTCTTTCTTCTTCTTCTTCTTCTTCTTTTTTTTTTTTTTTTTTTGCATTGGCTTGATAACCATCTCTGGCAGATGCAGAAATCATAAGTTTGTCTATTTTAATTAAAATTTCATCTCAAGGCAAAAAAAAAAAAAAAAAAAAGGAGTTTTTAAGTCTTTACCGCCTTTGATATCTATTCTAAAACCACTTTATAAACCTTACCTTCCCAAGGGCCCAACAGCCACAGTACAGTTCCCTCCAAGCGTCAGATTCCCACCTTTCGCAAAAGCTTCAACAGCTCTATCATAGTTCAGAATTATCACCAGATCCGATACCTAAAAGGTAAAACCAATTTATTTAAAAAGTTACAACTAAATATCATTTAAAATAAGGTCGATTAAAACTCAAACAAATCCTAATATAATGTAGTAAAATTTCGTGCAAACAGAGAACAGGAAGCCAATGTTCTGAGCTAAGACACCAAGAGTGCAGAAGTGGTACCCCAAGCCCTCAGGCCCCAAGCACTAGATCTGTGCTCCAGGGGCACCTGGCTCTATTCCTTGCTCCAGCCAGCACCCAGGTATAGGAGGCTACAAGCTGCCACTCCTGTTGCCAGGACCGTCCAAGTGGGGCAGGAGGGAAGTATCTACATGCCCTGTGATATCCTCCACTACTCTCTCCAGGAGAGCCAGACTGGAATGGTGTGTGTATGAAGTGTGTCCCAAGAGCTCATGTTTGAGCTGGTGCAGGAGTGCTCAGAAGTGAAATGATTAGATCTTGAGAACTCTCCCCTAATCAGCACACCGATCCACAGCTGGATTAACTGGTAACTGTAGGGAGGCTGGTTGGGGCTCGAGGAGGTAGGTCACTGGGCATATCTTTGGGGTTTATATTTGTTCCTGGTGAGTGGAGCTCTCCCTCTCTGCTTCCTGGTGGTCATGTTCTGAGCTGTTTTCTTCCACCACACTCTTCCCCATGATATCCTTCCTCACATGAGCCCAGAGCTATGAAGTTGGTGTTTATGGACTGAGATCTCTGAAACAGTGAGGCCAAATAAAGTTTTCTTCCTTTAATTGTTTTTGTCAGGTTTTTTGTCACAGTAGTGAAAAAGCTGACTAAAACACAAACCTAGGAACCTAGGAAGCTGCAGTGGCAGATCCAGGCAGCACCCACATAGTGCTCTGGGGGAAGCTGCATGCACACCCCCAGGGAAGTGCAGCCAGGCACTTGGCCATGGATGTTCACAGTGCAGGAGTAACCTGGTTTCCATTAGCAATGCCCACTACTGGGAGTTTGTTTTCCTCTAAGTAGAAGGAAAACCTGGGATAAGAGCCAGCTGACTGCTCACTGCAGGTCCTGCTGTGTCAGAGCCCAAGGTTAATACCCCCTTAAAGCTTCCCACAGGGCCACGCAGCAACCCAATGGCCATGTGCACCAGGCAGCTGGAGGCAATGTGATCTTGGGGGGACTACTGAGCCACTCGAATCCCTGGTTTCCTCTATATAACATGGGCATAATCACAGTAGCTGCATTTGTAAGGCCATTTGAGGATGAGTGGGAATCATGGCGAAGCCTGGAGTAGTCCCCACATCTCAAAAAGCACAGAGGCCAAGTCAACCTTGACAGATGCTTTGACTTGCCCATTCTTTACTCTCTGAATGTTTTCAAACCAATGCTTTTGTTGACCTACAAAAAATCATGTTATTACCAAAGGAGATTGTACTTGAAAGGACCAGATGGAGTTCCTAGTACAAGAGGCTGCTGACCCATGTGAAAGGCTTCCCTGTGGCACCTGCCGAGCACTACTTGCACTTCACATACAGGCGATCTCTGAGAAATGGGGTTGAATGACTTAGAGCAACTTGCATTTTCTCTCAAAGCTAAACCCTTTGGCAGTGATCACAGCCTGTGCCTCACAGGCACTTGCAGATGACAAGACGGCCTGGGTCTTGCGCTGTGTTCAGCATCCACACCTGGAACATGTACACCTGCCCAGGACCTTGCAGCTGCTCTAGTTGCCCTGTCCTGCTCGGGATGTCTCAGTTAAGCATGGAAAAGCTCTAAGAGGCAGTTAAGGAAAAACATCCATCTCTAATCTTCTATCCGTCTCTGTTCGGTTCCTTTGAAATGGGAGTAAAATGATCCTGTGTTCTTTCGTAATACCACTAATGAAGCAGAGAATCAGGTCACAGCTCCACAGACAGCTCAAGCAGCACGTGAGTACCAGCAGCCCCAGGCTTACTTCTGGGGAGAGAAATAAGCACAGAATGAGGAGCAGAACAGGTTCCTGCAGGGGCACCGGCAGGGGGAACACTGCCATAGGGTGAGAAGCCATGAGAAAATGTGATAGGTGCTTCCTTGGTATTAATCAATAAGATGCCAGTTTGTCAATTAAACAAATCTGTAACTCTAAGGATTAAACTCTGCAGCTGCTGCTCGGAAGTCTGCTGGGGACTAGCACCACCTCCCTCTGCCCCTGCTGCCATTTCCAGCTAAGAGTCTGGCTTGTATGTGAATTGGGGCTGCCAACTTGGGCACCAGATAAGGCCTGGGGTTCCTGCATGGCTCTGTGGGAAGCTTCCTGCCCACCGGCACAGCTAAGCTGCCCTCCCCTCCCCACTCTTTGAGCTCTTCTTGGCAGGTGAGGGCTCCGGTGTGGGCCCCAAGGTTTCCTTGCTCCCAGCATGTGGCCAGATTTACTGCAGAACCAACCTGGGACCTCTCCGAACACATCCCACTCCTTACACAACAGGTCCTTCACACTGGCCTCTAACAACATCACTCTTCAGCTAGAGCCCAGTGGCCTTCCTCCTTAGGAAGGCAGAAGGTAAGCTCTCCTTGGAAGAAGTTGAATCCTTTCTCCAAACTGCAGTGAAAGCAAGATTTCCCAGAGTTACTAATGCAATGTGAACTCTGAATTTGGTACAAAAGACAATTGGATAGATTCCTATCCAATACTATCCAGTAGTCCCACCATAACAGGTCCCACAACAGGCCACTCTGGGCCTCTGTGACATTGTTTCCTTCACTTCTCTCAACCATCTCTCTTTACCAATCTCTCCTACCAAAAGAACTTTCCCCACCCAAACTACCCCTTATTCCAGATGTAGGCAGCCATTTATTCATTTAGAGGGCTACTCAGTACACTCAATATCCAAAGGAACAGGGAGTCAGTACCCAACTCCCACCTTGCAGAATCTGAGGTCCAAACATGTCAACTGTGCCTGTGGCTCTGGCAAAGTGCAGGGTTCCTGGCGTGTACAGACCAGGATGAAGCTGTGGGTGGTGAAGGTTCCACAGTTACTGCTCAGGAGCATCAGGCAAGCTGCCTTTGCTGAAGCCACACCCTGTCCATAGCCCTAGTTGTCAGTTATACACTCGGACAGCAAGGCATGAAAAGAACCACATTAAGATTTCAGTCTTTCTCCACTAGGACTCTCTCAGCATTAAGCCCTGGTGCTCTAAGGGTTGGTTCAGAAAGATTCAATACTTTGCCCAATGTTCTAGGGCTAAAAGAAGAGCTAAAACTGAACTTCTTAGGTGGACTCTCTACCCTGTCTATGTTTTACATCTGCCAATCAAATGCTCTCTGAAGATGGAGGGTTTTGGAGCAGCAGGAAGTTGGCTCAACACACACTTAAAGGGGGAATGCTTCCAGAGCAGTGCAAAGAGTCCCTGCAAACCAACAATAACTTGAAAAATAATTAGAAAAAGCACTTCCCATCTGTGGAAACTGCCCCACAGGCAAGCAATGTCAACAAAGTGATACACACTCAGGAACTGTGTTCAGACTTGGCCGAGGTCGCTGCAGCTGGTGACACTGGTGCTACACACGCAGCCCAGGTTCGGCTGGTGGGCCACCCTACAGGATAGTGGCACAACGACACAGCCCCTGGCCCCAGCTTGTTGTTGCAGGGGCTGCAGTCCAGGGGCTGTCTACAGCCCCTCCTCAGGCCTTTCTACCTGTTATGATTTGATGTGAGGTGTCCACCAAAAGCTCATGTGTGAGACAATTCAAGAAGCATCAGAGGAAAAATGATTGGGTTGTGAAAGTCTTAACCTCATCAGTGAACTAACCCCCTGATAGGACTAACTGGGTGGAACTGAAATGGTGGGGTGTGGCTGGAGGAGGTAGGAATTGGGGACATGGATTTGGGGTATATATTTGTATCTGGCAAGTGGAGACCTCTCTCTCTGCTTTCTGATCATCAAGTGAGCTGCTTCCTTCTGCTACACTCTTCTGCCATGATGCCCTGTCTCACCTTGATCCCCAAGGAATGGAGCTAACTGTCTATGGACTGTGACCTCTGAAACTGTAAGCCCCCAAATAAGCTTTTCTTCCTCTACAGTTGTGCTGGTCAGGTCCTTTACGTGGCAGTGGAAGAGCTGACTAAAACACAACCTGTGTGGCAGAAGCCTACCCAGGAGTTGCAGGGCCCTTCCTCCTTGGTCTGGCTCACCTGCAGTCACGAGTTCTACCCAGAAGACAAAAGGCTGTGACTGCCCAGAGATGCTCGAGTCACGCTAGTGAAGCATACCACGGTCCCAGCCTCCAGCTCTGGAGGAATGGCATGGAGATTTTGGCCAGAGAGAAGTTCAGACTTCAATCACAGTTCCAAAGTTCCCTGGGGAAGCAAGCTGAACTGAAGCAGAGTGGCAAGACAAGGTCTCTGAAGACACAGTAAGAAGCAGCTGGAGCTCCATGAGAACAGTGGAGCAATATGTTGAGGATGAAGCCATCAGCAGGCTAACACCCGAGTGACATCAACAGTCATCAACAGACAGCTCCACAGAGACCAAGGAAGAGCCCTGCTGTCTGCGCACCACGCCTGCACCTTTCCAGGAGCAGCTGAGGATGCACTGAGACAGCCCAGCAGAATCACTAACTGGACAAGTCCTCAGAATCAGCTGCGCTCACCCTTACTGTAAAGAGACTGACAGGGGCCGGACCTCCTGAGGTGACCAAGCGACTTCCAGGCAGATCCTTATCATAGAGTGTACACAGGACGAGGATGGCTACAGACAAGAACTGGGTAAGCACCAGATAACACAACCCTAAACGACATCCCACGTGAGGCTCCTTGACAAAGTGTCATTAAGTGACAAGGATGCGTGACCCAAATCATGGGTTTTCAATAAAAATTATGAGACAAGCAAAGAAGCAGGAGAACATGACCCAAACACAAGAAAAGCAAACATGAGTAACTGCCTTTCCCATTTAGCAGACAGAAATTGCTCAGATTATGTTCAAAGAATTATATGATTAAGAGGCAAACTCTGGAAAAGGAGAACATTGCCTCAAAGATAGAGCACTTCATCATTGCTCAACTGGTGCAGACAGAGGCCACATAAAGAGCAAGGAGAAGTCCTGGGACTGAAAACAGGTGACAGATATGAAGAATCCCCTAGAGGGGTTAACCGCAGAGCTGAGCAGGCAAAACAGAGTCAGCGATGTAAGGACAGATCCATAAAGAACCTTAAGACTAAGAGAAGAAGGATGAGCAGATGCCATCACCACGAGGTACAAGGTGCCAATGGGGATGCCAGCACCATAGGGAAGAAACAGAGGACACTCTCCAAGAGGCCATGACTGGAAACATCCCCAGCTGATGATAGGAGCAGACAGTGTTCCCAAGCAGAACAGTGAGCCCTGAGCAGGCTAGATGTGTGGAGATCCACCCCCACACACAACTGCAAAAGTGCTGGAACATGGAGAAAAATCTCAAAGGCAGCAAGAGAAGGAGGACTCACCATGTGCAAGGAACCTCAGCAAGATGCATGCAGGTTTCCCACCAGGAACAGCGGAGACTGGGAAGCCCTGAGATGGCAGATCAGAGTTCTGAAGGGAAAACTGTCAACCCAGAATCCAATACCAGCAAAATCGCCTCTGGAAATGGAGGTGAAACTAACACGTCCCCAGACCAAAGGAAAAAGAACTGGGGGATGCTGTTGCTAGTAGACCCATTTTACAAGTGCTGCCAGTGACATCTCCTTAGGTTGAAGCCAGGGGCCCTAGGTGGCAATCAAAACCATATAAAGCAGAGCACTGGCAAAGACAAGCATGGAAACAGGAGCAGGAGTGCACACGTCTCTCTCCTTGGTCCCTGACCTGAGTATAACGCACAGTTTGAAATGCCTCCTATGAACTGTGTTGCTATGCCTGCAACTGAGAAATGCAATGTATCTGCCACCAGCAGATCAAAGGAGTGGGCAGGGGCAGGGCTGAGTTGCAGAATGGACACCACACCTTTTGTCCCCTGGAATCCACAGGAGCAGCCATGCAGGACCACAGGTGGCAAGTTAGAAGGCCCATAGTGGGATCAGAAAATAAGCACCTGCTCTCAATTCTTCACTTGATTTCTTTAAAAACATGACATTATATAACTGCCAACTGTAAAATGTATAATTGGGCTTATAATTATAGATGTAATAACACATTCATAGCAAAAAAAAGGAGAAAAGGGAATATGACTAAATAAAACAACAATTCTATGTCTTACAGAATAATGCTAATATAAATTTGAAATAGTTTTTGCTAAGATGTGCTGTAAACTCTACAGCAACCACTAAAAATATGACTCAAAAATAATAAAAAATCAAAAGAAAAATACAACTTTAGATAGAGAAAACATGTAATGTCAGACACCCATCAAATGGTACCGATAATACCAGTACACATAAATGGATTAAACGACCCAACTGAAAGGCAGAGACTGTCAGGCTAGAGTTAAAAAAAAAAAAAAAATCCAACCACATGCTGCTATGCACACTGCAGATCCAAAGCTCCTGGCAGACAGCGTAAGGGCAGCCTCAGGGAAGTGGCAGGCTGTGCTCTTTCTAGCCTCCTTGCCCATTCTGACCCAAGCAGACAGAAATGCTGGGCTGGGGCTGGTCTGAGACCACATCTGTGCTGAAAGCTACACATCCTTCCTGCTGATGCTGGAGAGTGACGGACAGACAGCTCTAGCATCACTGCCCCTTATCATCTCCAAGGGTTGGGCTCAGAGCAGCAGTCTGGCCACATTCAGAAAGCTTCAAGTAGGTTTCCAAATGTTGGGAAATGCTTTTTATTATCTCTACTGAAACTGATACCTTAAAAAGCTAGTAATTATCGTTTATGCCTGTTGTTTAAGTGAAATTTCAGAGTTGATTCCCATTCTGTCATGAGGATAAGCTTTGCAATCAAAAGTTCTATATATGACAAGCTGAGTAACAATACAACCATTCCAAGTGCTTTTCAGGTATAAACCCATTTATTCACTCATCAGTTTAAAGCCAGAGGAAGGCTATTTTCACAGAGGAAAAAATTAGGCCAAATCATGAAAGACAGCTCAGAAAGAACTGACTGAAATGTGAAAAGAAATGATTTCAGCACATCAGGAGATCTGATTTACCAAGAACTTAGCAGTAAAGCAACAGATGAAACTCTAACAGCGTGGATGAGTTGACGCCACACCTTTTTTGTTGTTGTTGTTGAGGATGAAGCCATCAGCAGACAGACTTGTAAACAGGGACACCCCAGTGTGTAATTCCTAGTCGTTTGATAACCTCCATAATTATGAGGAGATAAGTCATACACAGAAATAACATGTGCTAGCATGCACTTCCAGAATTTGAAGGAAACTGTGTTTAACCACAGATGGTGACGCCCTGTGTGGAGCCTGCCCACCTAGGGAGTAAGCAGTTTTGCAGTCAGTGACCCACAACTGCCAATGCCAACAACCATTTGTCAGACCCTCCTTCCAGGGAAAGGAACAAAAGCTTCCTAGGGGAGTCAGAAGAAGGTGGATGTGGTCAGGGTCTGCACACACAGGTATGCCTCAGGTGAGATCTCTAGCACAGAAAAAGAAAAAAAAAGAACAAAGAGGAGGCAGGGGAGGGGATGCAGAATGACAATAAGGGGGAACCATTCCCCAAGGCATTAGACTAGAAGCCAAGGGAAACCTATGGCTTTCACATGTTGAGACTCAAGGGCCTCAGGGACACACACGCTACCCACTCACCTCGATTCCTATTTCAAATCCCCCGCCAAGCCCAGCTATCCCGATGGCTGAAGGTGCAGACCACGCTGATAAAACAAAAACAAAAGCATACGGTAACATTAAACACCCCTGACATATGAACGACTGTGGAAATATAATAAAATGTAAAAGATGGCTTTTTAAAATTACTTAGGTATTTCTCTATGCATTTAAAAATATTCTTTAAAAAGCATATGCAGTCTTCCAAAAGCTGAAGATACTTCAAAGGTGTTAGATGCTTACTATGGGTTTGAGATTCACAGACTCACGTCCTCAAGCTCCCCGCCAAGATGTATAACCCTCCCTGCCAACATGCATAACTCCAAACTATTGTGCTGTCTGCTACCTTCAGCTGCCAACATTTGTACCATCGAACCTCAACTCTAGTCTTTGGATACAATTTCATCATAGACAAAAGGTATCAGAGGATTCAAGAGTTCATTTTCACTCCTGGGGTGAACTAATACTGAATTCTTTTCATTGTCAATTCTCAGGGCAGGCTCTTGTTCCTAGAAGAGCACAAGTTATAGACAACAAGTTCAAGATCATTAGAATTCTAACAAGGGAAGTTTCTTTACATTTGGAAACCAAGTGCAATAATTCCATGTGCCATGATATGGTATATTTTAGGATTTTTGTGTATTTTCTTCAATATAAAAAGTTACGTTAAGCGAGTCTAGAAAGTTGGTGGGGGTGGGAAAGCATGAGAAAGGCCTTCTCAGGTTCACTCTCTGCCTCAGCAGGCTGATTAAGGAAGTCAGTCTGATAATGCCAAGGCTACTTTTTACTTATGCTGGAGCTGCCCTGGCTCACAGGCCCCTGGGAGGAAAACTCATTCTGTCTCGATGCAGTTTTTAAATCCCCCCCCCACCCACACACACCTGGTATGCAGCCACTGCTCAGGATGGAGAGGAACTGAGGTTCTGGAATGGTAGAAAGGTGAGTTGGAGCTGACAGGCCCCCAGGGCTGGGTGCGGGTGGGTCCTGCACCAGCCTAGCTCCAAGAACTTCCTGCAGATACCAGTCCCACCTGGCAGGCAATCCTCAGAGAAGCTACATTGCTCAGCTTTACTGTTGAAAAGTCTTCCCATGAACAGTGGGCAATGCTTTTTGTTTTCAATTTTTGAAGATTAGGCTTTTTAAGATTATTTTAACGTTTGTGAAAACAAACTTTTTAATTAACAATTAAACAGTTTTGATCTACATGTTTCTTTGAACTTTCACATGAAGGGTCTGAAGAGGGAAGATGCTTGATGGATACGATACAGTGGCTTGCAGACTAGGTCTTGCGGTGCAGCCCCAAATCACAGCCACACATAGAGCTATGACGCCGAGCCACACTTCAAGAGAGCCTCAGTTTCCCAGGGGGCTGTGTGGAGGAAACAGTGAGTCCAACCATCTGAAATTTAAAGAATGTGTGTTCCACGAACACTCCTATTTATTGTAAGTGTAAATTACTATGTTATAAAATATCTATTAGCAGAGCAGTGTGTTCCTATATGATGGACAGCAAATGTCAAAGCACAGTAGAGGCACTTTGGTGGTCACAACACCCGCATACATTATAAACACTGCTACAAGTGTTGGTTCTTGGGATTCATGGCAAATACACTTTGACTTCATCTCTGAGAGGTAAAGTAGATTTCACCCCAGAAAGTAACAGCCAGTTAGACTGCCTGGGTAGGTTCTCCCTTGGTGGTTCTTCAAACACTGCAGATATTACCGGGTCCCACAGAACCACAGGTGCTTGCAGATGGTCCTTTCTTCCACAGCAACTTCAGAAAAAATGAGAGAACAATACCAATAAAGATGGGGAAGAGCATTCACAGTCAGTGACAGACAGCAGACACTGCTCCGTTACGGGCTGTGTGGAAGACCTGCAGAACGAGTATGAAGCAGGCCTGCCCTTGAGTCCTACCCATCATCTCCCAGGCTTCCTTCCCAACAGGCAGGATGTCATGTCCAGCTCCTGCCATGCCCTCCATGGAAGCATCCTTATGGAAAGAAGACAAAAAGGAATTGTGGTACTGTACAAAGGTTGACTTACTTCCGTCTGGAAGGCGGGCCAGGACGATCCCACTGCCTCCTCTGGCAGTCACCAGGAACCCAGCTTTGATCACAGACAGAATGGCAAGGCCTTTGGCTTTGGCAATCACATGGGCTACAAGAAGAAAAGCAAACAGAAAACCAAAGCGTGAGCAAAAGCAGTGTGGGGCAGAACTTACCCTAACACAATGTAGAAAAGTTCACCTTTGGTTGATGTGAAAACTGTGATTCAAGAATACCAGTCAAGTGATTTTGCTCCTTTAAGAAGTTGTTTAGCATTATAAATGATCTGCTATAGTATTCAATTGTACCACTACTTTACTAGTACACTGAAACTATAACTCAATTTCTAACATACTGGTTTATTCACATTTCAGAGAATTCTGTATAAATGAGGGTGACTAATGTTGGAATCCACTGAACACAGAACCTCAGTGTTCTGAGAATCTACACAATGGCACAGCTTCCAAACCAATGATGAGGCCCAAAGATACCCATGAAATAGCTCCAAAGCTCCTGGAGTCATTATATATCACCTCTGCTTAGAAGCAGCAAACACAACAGTATACTCTTTAATGAACAGGGTTCATATGCCAACTATGTCTTTCCAGATTGTCCATCCAAATCCAGGAACATCAAGTGCCAGCACAGGGAACCTCTGAACAATGAGCCTTTTAGCTTTTCATTTACAGCCTGGGATGTACAGCAAGACAGAATTGTGCTGTACAACATCCAGGGGCATGAACCACACTGGCATCTTAGGCTGGGAAACACTGTCCACCCAAGCTCACGTGTGTGGACCCCTGGGCCAAGAGGCTTCCTGTCCCCTGCTGCAGCACACTGCTGGGGCACTTGGGGTTTTTTCCCACATGCCGGTTGTGTGGCTCCCTGAGGACCTTCTGGGAAACGCAGGTCCCTGAGGCCTGGGAGACCCCTCATGAATGCCGAGGGGGCCCAGCAGCTCAGCCATTTGCACCTAGCAAGCAGCAGAGCTCCATTCGCTCCAGCTTTTCAGGGCGGGAGAACCAGCCAGGCTGAAGTCAGAAAAAATGATACTACTATTAACGTCATTACACCAACAAGCATTTTAAAGCTCCTTGAAAGCTGTTAAATGACTTCAGAAAGTCTAAGAAAAAACTATTCAACACATGACACAGTCATGTACTGGGATTAATAATTAGTCTGCCACATACCCAAACCAACTACCTGTGGAGCTTCTCCATAGGAGAGGAGTATTCCATGCAACACCTTGGAAGTAACTGATGACCCACAGATAGGAGCTCCAAGCACTCACCTGAGCACACAACAGTCTCATGAATATGTTATATGTACACATTTTGCTGGCCCCACTGCTCAGAATCTGGTCCAGTGGGTCAGAACAGGGTTCAGGGCCTGAGTTTTAATGACAAAGGCATAGTGATACACAGCTGTGTTGGAAATTATTGATAAATGTCTCTGTACACCACTATAGAATCTGGTATCTCAGATGGAAGAGAAAAGCACAAAATTAAAACTTGTTTTTGAGGTTGTTAACTTTCTTACTAGCTAGTAAGTTTGCAAGATTTGCTTATGCAGCACTTAGAGTGGGGCAAGTATAGGAGAACCAAGAAGGCTCCGTGAAGGCTCTGGCCCAGCATCTCTTTCGTAGCTGGGGGAAGACCCTGCCCCTGGCTCAGGCCGCTGCTGCCTTGCCCAGGAGACCCAGGACACCGCAGGGATCATCCCTGAGAAAAAAAGGTGGCCTAAATGTTTACTAGTCTCTGTGGGATCAGCAGAGCGATGCTGGAGCAATGCTGAGGAATGCAGAAGGGCAATGTAGAAAAACACATTCAGAGATTCACCCACCAGGAATGATCTTATCAGGTCCATTTCTAGAAGTTATTTCCGTGAATTCTCTTAGGATTTTAGCAGCCTTCTTTGCTTCTGATTTCAGATTGGAAGGTATAGGGTTATTCACTGAAAACAATTTTTTAAAAACATATTTTAATGAAAGAAATCTACATTAAGCTTTAATAAATCATATCCCCCCAAGGAAATGGCTTGGTGTTCTTCAATTATTGACTACTTTGTCTTTTTCCTAAGACATCAAATCTACTGATTAGAAAACCCTAAGCTCTCAAAATCTCAGAAATCATAACATTGTAGGATTCTAAGGATGAGAGAATCTGGTCCACAGTCCCACTTTGGGTCTCCTTCACATCATCAATGCACCTTATGACTATCAAAAAGATTCAGAATTTTAAAATTAGGAAAAGGTGCATTTCACAACTAGTGGTGTCCTAGTAAAGTGTAAAGTTAACATATTTGGCCATTCTCATCAGAACACTGAACAGGCTGTCTGCAGACTTTCCTAGAGCTGAATCCTGGGGGCCTGGGAACTGGCTCCACTGCACTCACCAAGGCCTCCCTGGGCTGTGGGCACACACGTGCCCCTGGGTGTACTTCTCTAACAGCACTCGTGGCCCTGGGGTTCTGCAGTATGGGAGGTGGCCCCTCACTTAACTTTCTGCAAGGTGCACACCTGGCAAGGTGAAGGCACCCCTGCACATATTGTCTCTGGTACAACTTGCATGCCAAAGGACGCTCAGACAGACAGGACGATCCAATGGCCCAGGGAAAGAGTCCTTTGATCCAGCAAAACACTCGTATTTCTCCTGAAGTAATGTGATGCATTTGGGCATCTGGCATGCTTACTGTATGCAATACATTTTAAAACTGGAAACTGAGTTGGGTCATATTGGAGCTTCGTTCTGTTGAGAAGTCAATTTGGTTTTCTGGGTCAACACAGGAGCATCAACAAGACTCCACAGTGCAGCGTCAAGTCTGTGAATCATCAGTGAGACTAGTTTGGGTAGAGGAATTACTTTGAGGGGGAGGGTACCAGCGATTGAACTTAGGGGCACTCAACCACTGAGTCACATCCCAGCCCTACTTTGAATTTTATTTAGAGACAGGGTCTCACTGAGTTGCTTAGCGCCTTACATTTGCTGAGGCTGGCTTTGAACTCATGCTCCTCCTGCCTCAGCCTTCCAAGCTGCTAGGATTACAGGTGTGCCCCATGGCATCTGGCTTAGAGGAATGTTTTCAGAGTTTGTGCAAGCAGGATAAAATGCATATGGTGTGATGTGTCCTTTTCCCCCTTCGGCATCATGCCACCCGTATGTCGTGGCACCTTTCACTTTCTCCCAGCTTTTACTTCAGAATGGCTGATACACTGGCTATTGCTGCAGGCTCTTCCAATTACCTCTGAGATGCACCTTCCAGAATGGAATTCACCTATGTTTTCAGGGCAGCATAAGGAGCGTGTATCACACTTCTCTCCTACAGCCACATCCTTCCTGAGTTTTGCAGTCAGACAGCCTCTCCCAGCCACAGGTAAGAGCCACTCCAATCTCTGTCACATATGGCAGTTTTTGTCTGTGCAGAACACTACACAGATGGAGTGGAGCGCGTCTCCTTCTCCACTGCTGATCTCACTCACTGCAGGATTGACGCTACCTGTGATGTCACCATGTGGATCAGAAGTTCACCCTCCTCCTGGTCAGAGGGCACCTGACCTGTGGGAACTTTTCCTCCTGCCCTCCCTTTGCCGGGGCCTCCCCAGTTTTGGGCTATTCCAAATGAAACTGGTAGATATTCCCATGAAAGTTTGTGCACAGATGTTGTGTTTCTCTTGGACAAATACCTAGACACAAGATCCCTGTTTATAGGGCAAGCACATGCTAGCTGCCAAGGAGGCTATCCGAGATCCTCTCACATGTCTACTAGAAATTTGGGAGAGTTCTAGCACTCTACATCCTCACCAAGCCTTGGCATGGCCAGTCTTGTAAATGAGTTATTTCCATGAATTTCATTGTGCATTGTTTTTATTTCCCACAATTGATGGTGTTGAACACTTCCTTATGCTTATTTTTGTATCTTGTAGCAAGTGCTAAAAATTTGCTCATTTTAAAAAGTGGATTGTTTTCTATTTTATTTAGTTGTAAAAGATCTTTGCATCATGGATTTTGTGTATTCCAGCTTCTTTGTCCTGGCAAGAGCTCAGTGTGCACTTCCTGGGTCCTCACAGTGAGCAGTCAAGGCCACCTCTCCATTGCTGTTGAGTGCTTTCATACTTCATGTCCACCCACAGGGGACACAGTCCTGTGGACACAGTTTCTTACTGACTCCTACACTAAGGGGACTCACCTTTCTCTGGAGTCTGTTTCCCATCTGTCTTTTGTGATGGTCTTCTCCACTTTTTTTCTTTAATTAAGTCAAATCTATCTTTTAAGTACCACAAGTTTCTTTTAACTAAACATACTAATTCTCAGATTCACATGGAAAGATAAAGAAGCAAGAGGAGCTGGGGAAAACTGTACAAGGAGAACAGTGAGGGCCAGTTCCACCCAAAGCTGGAGCATATGAAGAGGTCTCATCTCAGTGCCCTGCAGTGGACACAAGCCCAGGCAGAACCAGCTTCACCAGGCAGAAAACCCAGAAGTGACCCAGATACATGCAAGAACATGTATGACAAAGACAGAGCCTCAGGTCAATGTCAAAGTGACAGGAGACAAAGGTCTTTGGGGAAAAACCTGAAGTTATGGTCCAAGTGCATTATAAAGCTAAAAGTCCAAAAAATGTGAGGAAAGAGGCCCCTGCTGCTAATCTCACCAATGCTCAGTCCCCTTCCCAGGTGCACCTGGAAGGTTCCTGCACTACACATGCAGGCCATTACTGCCTTGGCTGTCACAGACGCCTGCGCTGGGTAGTAATCATCTTGGCACACACTCTTAAGTTAGAACTGCTAAGGAAAATGTCCAACAATCTCAAGGTGCTCTACCACCGAGCCACATGCCTATTCCTTAAAGTTTTTATGTTGTCCATATGCTTTCCAAAAATACTAGCCATGTTTAGAGCTGCTGGGCATTGCCATCAAAGTGTCTTCTGCTTAGAGGAGGCATGTTGGGAGGATAGCAATAGGATGAGGCATTTGTATTCGAAATTATCTGAACATCAAGGCACACCACACAACAAGGCATTCTGAGATAACCAGTCCTCTGTATTAAGATGAAATAAAACCAGTTCACAATGTCACGACTTACAAACAAAAAAATGCCAAAATAAAAAAAAAAAGTATCTTTTTAAAGGAACTCCACAAACAAGGTATAAAAATAAAGGAGAACTACAGATAAAAAGCTAAAAAGATGTGCCCACAGACACTTCAAAGATGAAAATAGAAGCCACAAACTGGAAGACACTCTTACACACACACGCTGCACAGATCTAGGATCTGGACATAGAGAGACTTCTGGGACTCAATGAGAGACAGATAGCATGGAAGCTGGGCAAGGCACCCAGGCAGCTTATTTGCAGGAGAGGAAGACTCTGTGGTCAGTAAGCGGATGAAACCTGATCAGATGGACCAGGAAGCAGGAGAAAGCAAAGTGAGGTGGCTGAGCCTGCGTTTCTCACCCATCAGAGAGAAAATCTACAGGTCTGCCAGGAAGTGCGTGCAGGGGCAGTTGGCCATGGTGAGAGAGCCAGCCTCCAGGACAGGAGACCTGAGCTCCTGAGGCAGTGCCTCCAACAGGGCACATCTGAGGGGCTTGCATGGGGGAGGGCAGTCCCAGATACAGGTCTACCTGGAACCTGAAAATGAGACCTACTTGTAGAATGGACCTTGACCACCTGAGTGGGATCACAGGAGACAGAGGGTGCAGAGAGAACTGGAGAGGGCTGCTTGCCTGCAGGGAGCTCCAGGAGTCACTAGCAGCAGGAAGCAGGAAGATGCTTCCTGCAGCCTTCCGTGGGTCCTGGAAGACCGGTCCTGTTTAGGTGGTGACCTTGAGATAGGGAAAGCCTGAAACGCTTGATGCCACAGCTTTTACCTGCAATGGTGAAAATGAGGGTAACACACACACAGGAAGATGCTCAGAAGCACCCAAGTGTCATTGGACAGGGGGCAAGGAGGTCCCTCCAAGGCGGTAGCATGACCTCAACCCAGTCCAGGTAGGTTCCTGATTTACACCCCTAAAAATTCCAGGACCTGATGAAAACAATCACAAGCCAATATTCAAGGACAGCAGAGGTGTACACATTCAAGGACAGGGTGCAGTGCCCTCACCTCCCAGAGATGAGAGGACAGAGGGGCCAAGTGGAGCTCTGACTACATACAGGATTATCCTGGGAAGAAAAGTGCAGGTTCCCAGGGGAGCTTCTGGGAGTCAAGTCCCAGAACCACCACCTGACGCCTGGGTTCAGAATTTCTCCCTGGTTAAGCAGTCCAGCCACAAGCCAGCCTTAGTCACATTTGAAGTCTGAATGCAGGACGTTTAAATCGACTGTTAGGGTTGATCTGGTTCAAGAACTCCCCAGAGGTCTTGCTCATCCAACAAGAGACAGGCTTGGTTGGTCATGTTGGTGGACCTGGGCCTCCATCTGGAAAGGGTTTTTCTGTCCCTCTCCCAGAATCCACACAGCACAGGAGGAGTCTTAAGGACGCCATTCAAAACCCACATCTATTTGCTGGTGCCCGCTAACATTTTCCTCTTATTAATGCTCTTGTTATGCAGTCTGGATTCAGAAAGTCTTAAGAAACTGAGAAGGAGGAAAACTCCAGGTAAACACTTGGGCCTACAGAGCACAACTGATGGAGGCAGATTTCAGTCGTGATTTGAGGTAACTTACTAAAGATGGAAAACTGTTTATTTGGTATTCCACAAATGACTAAGAAAAAAAAAATACAGGAAAGGGCATTTCCAGTTTCCAAGTTTCCACCTATACTTGTTCAGCACACAGACTTTGAACTCTCTGGTGTGTACATACTGGCTTCCTGACATTTTGATTGTAGGAGGGAAGGTATCAAGCTGTGGTGAATCAGCAAGACAAGCAAGCATATGAGTAGAAAACTGCTGAGGTTGACGGATCTGTTCACCAGGTGCATGCTCTGGCTGCGACACATACCTGTCTGCAACACACCTGTTTCCTGACTTGGCTCATAAGGAAAGCAAGGACATACAGCCTTGGTTTTCACAGAATGAGGGTTCCACCAGAGGGTTTGCCATGCTGGTTGAAGGCAGTGCAGCTGTGTGTTCATTCACGTTTCCTGCCATAGGATTGGCCATCCCCAGAGATGGTAGTGTGTGCGTTCCACACCAGGATGGTCAAGAAAGCTGTGTCCACCACTTGCTGGATGAGGAAGGAAGGGTTGAGACCTCAACCACTACTGCAAGACCAGCCCACCCATAACACCCCACTTGAGGGAGAGGGGATTCCTGCTGCACTGAGCAGTGGGAACCAGAGGCTTATTTATTATGCAGCTAACCATACCCTAATACCATTGAAGAATATTCCTGATCTCTCCATGGTATTTGCTGGAGAATTACTTTGAACTTCAATTTTCTACTATGGGACTAGATTTGACTGGTCTTTATCTACATTCTAGTCACTTAGGAAATGGGAAAATGGGTAGAATACATAAACAATTAACCTATATGTCAATGTTTTTATCTCCGATTACTCAGTACTCACAATACATTTTTTGGAAGTTCTTCTGGAAAAAAAAAAGTATAACCATGGTTTTCCTTTTCATTAAATGCTAAATGTATGGTATGTTACTTTGGATCTACCAAGTTCTTCTATTAGCATACACACCTTAAAACAGCTCAACACAGTACGTTTTAGCCTGCACTCCCTCTCTGGAATCCTACTCTTCTGCCTGGCCCTTCATGGCGCTTGGGTGTAACTTGAGGGGGATATTTTCATAGGGGATCTGGGAACATAACCATGCATAAGAGCATTTGGTAGAGGTGGAGGGAGAAACTGGGCACTATGGAGGCAAGTTGAATTCAGAGGATCCCCAGACTTTAAGTCACATGGACCAGGAAAATCCTGTTCTGTTAAGGACCATTTAAGTCAGATTTTCTGATAAGTGTAACTAAAGCACAGTAAATTGTACATAAATTGTATCCACAAGGACTTTTTACTTTGAAATCTCTCAACTGAACTATATTAGACCAGTCAAACAAGAAAATTTTACAATCAATGGTTGCTGTGCAATGTCCTGCTGGGGGGAAGGTCAGGCCAGTGCTGTGACCTTGGCAGGAGAGCTCTGTGATCAGATGGGCCCAGGAGCTGCTGTCCATGCAGTGCTTCCCCACAGGCCGCACAGCTATGGATGGACAGGCTGCTGACAAGCCCAGCCACAGTGAGGACTCCTGGCATGTCTGAACTTCAGAAAATACTATGGGTTCTATCAAACTTCTAATAAAATCACTTTGCCTGATCCTAGTTATGCACAGTGAATTTCTGTCATAACTAAAATACATAAATGAAAAATTTAGATATAAAACCTCACTTTCTGTCCTCAGTTTTTAACCTACTTTTCCTTCTTCTCTGCTCTGAGGAATAGAGTACATCTGACCAGGAGGTTGATATTATTCTCTCACACTGCCGGAGTCAGGATGCATCTGAACAGTCATGAAGTCTGAAGCTTTGAATTCCAAAGCCAAGCAAATTGTCTACTAATGCCTGAGTTTTCTCCTAAGGGTTGCCACCAAACCTCAAGCCAAGAAACTCTTAGATGTGCAGCATTCTATAAAAAAGCAATTGAAATGTTTGAAATTTTCTGTACAAAGACTTTTTTTTTTTAATTTAATAGGAGTTTATGAAGTGCTGGGAAGAAATTTTTACTGTGAAAACCTCAACAGCCTAAATGAGTTTAAGATATATAAATAATTTTACATGTTGACCAGAGGTCAATAACTCAGGACTATGGCCCCTGGGGGCCAATAGCAACATCTGAATCCTAGTTGTAATAAACTGCTACTGGGTGAGAAAGCTGGCCACCAATTCCAACCTAGACCTCTTCCCAGGGTCAGGAACAGCAGCCAGCAACCAAAGGGTTCTCCCCCAACCATCAACCAGAGTCGGGGATCCCAAACTTTCATTCCATCAGTAAGCATCAATTATGTGATTTTCTTCAACAGACCCTAAATTATGAAGGGAAACCTATAGGAAAAGTGAGCTTATAAATGGTTTTCTAAATTTCCATTAATTATATACTAATCAAATTATTAAATCTTATAATTTACATGAATTGAGAGTTAACTTGCTAAACTGATAAAACTGCAAAACCAAGATCAAAAGAAACTAGAATGTGTCTAAGGATATACAGAATTTAGAACAAACTGATTAAATCTTAGCCAAAATAAACTTTATCTGTGTAATCTCCCAAGAGGCTTTTAAAATGTTGCCTCTCTCAGTAAATCCAACTCTGAACACTGCTGCCTGACAATTACTGCCTTTGTGTCTTAGAAGCATGCCTATCTTTCTGGGGCCTTGGTTAAACTACTTTCTTTGTCTTAAAGGAGACAAAGCTTGTCAGTTCTAGAAATCAGAACCTGAGTCCCTGGTCAGATTACCAACCTCTTTAATTCAAACTTCCAGCCAACCAACGATGTGAACACCAGATCTTCCTGTGCCCTGTGCCTCTTTCTCATCCCTCTGACTGAAGGCTGTGGATGGAGGTCAAGAGCCAGGAATGACGGGTGGGAAAATGCTTGGCTTTCACCAGCTCCACTTCTCCTCAGTTTAGGCAAGACCTTGAAGGACCAGACAGGTCATTCTGGTCTGACTGTCTTGTATAAAAAATGGACTCTTTCCAGAGAAAATAAAAACATTCAACATGCTTAGGTCTTAAATGGCAGAGAAGTATGTCTTGTCATGATACCATCTGCAAATAAGCTGATGAGCACAAGGGACTCAGGACTAGCCCTCAGTGTTCACATCACACAATAGTTCCCTTTGACCCCTATCAACTTTATTTTTGAACACCAAAAGCTTATTTCTGAATATTGAGATATCTCCTGAAAATAAAGTTTTCCTAAACAGAATAAAGGTACCAAAGCACTTAAAAATTATTTTCAATCTTAAAAACGACTAGTATTGACTTGTTTTACAGAAATTTTGCTTAAACTGAACAGTAATAAACCTATAACCAATTCTTAATTTAAATATGATGACAGGATGGAGATCATCCCCCTTATTATTTTAACCTCCAACATAGCAATTTGGAAGCAATCAGACTGCTCAGGTATTTCAATAATAGGCCAGCACAGCAGGCTAAGCAGCACCTAAACCAGAGACCTACTATTCTCTGAGTGGTGTGTGCAAACTTTCTGACTAACTCATGTTTAATCCAAACACTTCCTCATATCTTAATAAAACACTGAGGTGAACAAGAATGCAGGACGGGCACACCCTGTAAGAAGAGCCAAGCCAAGCCTTCTCTACTAGGGCAGAAACCTCTGGCCTTTGTGTCATTATTTAGTTTGGCTGCAGCAAGGCAGCGGCAACAATGGAATATTTGCTAGAGTGAAAATGATTTCCAGTCAACAGTAAAATCCTATTTCCTCAAGGTTATCAACCAACTCAGAGTAGTTCCATATTTTTAAAAAGAAAAGCCATCACCATAGGGAGATGCCCCAGCGGCGCCAGGCTCAGCGCTGGGGACTTCCCCACCTTAGTGATGGCGCACCTGTTCCTGGTCCCAGGGCCAGGTGGGGCCTAGCGCTCGTCCCTGCTTTCCGCAGTACCCGGCAACAGGAACGTTCAGGGTTTGGCAGCTAAGGAGCTGACTCCTGCCCGTGTCAAGCGCACCGGAAGCCTTTCATAAAAACAAGTTAGAACGAGAAAATCGGTAACCGATTAGATAGTTTTAAATAACACAGTGCATTTCAGTCGTCAAAATTCGAAACATAATAAGAGTTTTCCTACGAACTGGAGTGAACTAGCTAAATTTGAATGAAAACCGCTGTGGCCAAGAGTTCTGGCAACTATCAATCCCGATCTTGGACGATCTGCGAAACGATCCAGTGTGGACAGCGACTTGATCTTTCTCTGGTCCTCTGTCACCAACGATAACCGTGGCCAGCAATGCCTTCTTAACAGTGGAAGGTGGTCACGATTAACAAATGTCCCGTCCCAACTCCGGGTGCGGCTCGTCTGCGCCCAGACGCCTTACTCACTTGTGCCGGCGAGCTGCTCCGCTCCGCGCCCCTCGAGCTCCGCACACCTGCCCAGGAAGAGGAAGGGCGGCCTCCTCTCGGTTCCGCCTCCCAGGGCGGGGACGGCTCCAGTGAGGGGCACACCTGGCACGCGCAAGGAACAAGTGTGTGCCGCCCCACCTTTGCGCAGTACCTAAACATTTTCGCGGGGCACAACAATACAGCTGCGCTCGACCTCCTCACTCCACGGAGTTTCGAAAACATTCCATTATTTCAAAGAGGGAAAACCCAACCGATGCGCGCTGAGCCTCTCGGGACACAGCTCAGATGGCTGCCTGGCGGACAGGGGCGGAGGGTTCCTCACGCCCAGGAGGCTCCTCCACCGGGACCCAGAGGGCGCCCCGGAGGGTGCCGCAGGCCTCACTTGCCGCAGGGCCCTGCTTATCCCCTCAGCCAGCCGCCCGCCAGCTGGTATCGCTGCGCCCCTACGGCGCGCCGCTCCGGTGAGCAGCACAGCAGCGCTAGACACTGCAGGCGTCCTGCCTGGCGGAGGCAGGAGACCGGTCCAATCAGGCTTCGCCTACCCGTCCCCGCCCCGACGGGAGGTGCTGCGAGAGGCGGCTCACCACGCCCCCGCCCCTCCAGCTCGGCCCCTGCCCAAGGTGGGGAGGCCCTCACCCCACCTAGCCCCAACCCTTTCTTCCGGCTCTTCCCCGGCAGAAAGGGACTCTTCCCCTAGGCCCCACCCCCGCCCAGGATGTAGACCGCCCCACCTGCGGCCCCGCTGGAGCGCCGGGCGGCGGACTGCGCAGGCGCGCGGCCCAGGGCTCGCCGTCCAGGGCTGGCGACGCGCATGCGCTGCGTCAGGACGTACGCCGACGCGGCCGCTGGGCGCGAGTGTCTGCGTTTGAAGATGGCG